AATTATTAATAATTATTATATTACATATATAAAATATATATTATATATGTTTCATGAACAGCATTAGGAAACAAAAACTAAAACTCCTTGACCCATTAAACAATGATTAAACATCAAAGCGCAAACATAAAAATAATTTATGAATAAAATTGGACTACTTAGGAACACATGTATTTTCCACACAGACATCGATCCTTTTTCATTAAAATCTATGCTAAACGTCTAACGAAATAAAACATAAGGATCAGTAATAGATTAAAAGTAAAGTGAAACTGAATTTTATGAAAATTTTCGCGATCAAGTTTTTAAGATTGTCTCGTTATCCACCTAATCGTTAATAGCTTATTTACAAACGTGGTTCAACGAGATCAGCGTGTTTTCAAATTAACTAACTTTTCGAATCGCGCACGCGTTTCAGTCGGCAGCCAATATACGCATGACTAACCGAATGCGTAATTAACGAGAGACGCGCCGTTAGAAATCCTACAACTGAAAGAAATTTATTTCCATTCGTCTCGCAAGTAAAGCCGCGTGGCTGTGATTGGCAGTAACAATTAGTTCCGCGATTTTTTGCATAGAACGCTTCGGGGTTCATGTTTCTTTTTATTTGCGCGCGCGCGCGGACACTTTCATTACCGAGAAGATTGTTTCACCGAACAAAATTCTAAGCTCAGAATTCCTGTGATTCTGAAAGTCTCGTTCAACGATGTCCAATTTCCTTAAGTTTCGTCTAAAAGTCTGTTCCTCGTCACAGAAATATTTACTATAATAGTTAATAGTTAACTATTAAGCTGCAAACTTAACAATAAGCCCATAGTTACAGTAATATTTTACTGTCGAAGAGCAGAGTCGGTAATCGACAAAAATAAATTGCGGATCGCTATTTGCGTCGCATCAAGATGTATGTAAACCAAAAATGTACATAAAAAAATATTTATCGTGTGTGCGACGACTAGATTGCACATATTTTCGCGTTCATACTTCGCGCAAGATATTATACGAGCATTGAAAAAAATTAATGGTACAGTTGATTTTTGTCACGAAAATCGTCTGGTCGGTGAAAAAAATCTGATCTCCATAAAATAAAATATAGAATAAAATATAAAATGAAATATAAAATAAAAAAAATATATATATATATATATAAAATATAGAAGTCGAAATGTTAGATGAGATAGTCGAGAACATCGGCATTATTGAATTAAATATTTGCTCGCTCCTGTTTTTCGCGACTAAACGCTCCCATTTTGCGGAAAGATTCGCAGCCTAACGATCATGCAAATAAGTTGCCCGACCGACCGCGAGTTATACAACATTCTGCTGTTCCGCGTCCGATCAGAGCCCGGCCGTCGACATCGCGCGTTCCATTTCTTACCTATTTATTTACTTTGCCGGTAAATTCCGATCGGAATTCGCCGTGGCGGACGCCGGGCAAGATTTCACCATCGCTTACGAAACGCTCTATGACAACAGTCGCGCCGCGAGCAGCCGTCTATACCGGTCGATACGTGGCATTTTCTCCTCGTTATCGCTCGCGGGTCTTTTCGGGGGTCAATTGGACGGCGGCGAGGGCACGCGTGAAAGGAAAAGCGACGATGGGTCCGCAGCAGCCCCCGGAGGGCATCCGGAAGAGAAACCGGCGGCGACAGACGAACGCCCGTTCCGAAATCGATTAAATCGTTTGCAAGACGAAGGAACGGAAGAGGAAAAAAAAAGAAATTGGGGAGTGAAAAGACCACGGGGGGCGCCGATGGGACCCCGCACGATTTCTTTCCATCTCCCCGCGCCGTGCCGATCCTCGTGCCGATCTGGAGCACGAGAAGTATAACCTTGATACATAACCTTGCCGCGCCATGAACTTCGCCTTCGCTGGACGGACTCGCGTAAATACCCATGGGGAACGAAACCGCTTGACTCGCTCGACCGGATCGCGTTCCCGATCACTTTCTCCGGAACGATGGGCCGCCGCGCAGCGCCGCGGTATAAAGAAAGATCGTCCAGGCTCGTAGGAGGTGGACGTGGACGCTGGCGCAGAGGAAGGAGAGCGGCCCCAGCGATGGGACCAATTTCCTCGTGGTCCTTGATCAAGGCGATATTATTGTTAAGAACTGGATGAAACGATCGTGTCCTTCGGGAAAATCTTTTTGGAGAAATAGAGAGCACCCTGAGCAATTTTGTTAATGAAATTTCCTAATGAAATAAAAGATCCTCGATTGAATTGTATTTTTTTGCTAAAAATTGCAGCAATTCATTTCTGAAGGGTCAAGATGTTAATGTAATATCAGGAATTAGAATGTGTGTTATCGAAGGATGGGCGATAACTGCAGATTTTATGCATTTATCGCGAAATTGAGTAATTGCGCTTTGAAATTGCAGCGAGATCGAAAGAATTAGAAAACGGCGAATATATTACTTTTAATTTAATAAAAATATTGCAGACAGAAAGAGCATTGCTGTTTAGTTTCTATTTTTTGCGATCCAGGCAGACAATTTTTATTTTGCATAAACATCCGACGATAACATTCCTGAGAATAAAATGACCCTTGATCGAGATAAAGATGACTGCTTTTGTCACAATTTTTTGGAAATACGATGAAATGTATTTCTGCAGATTCTATGGGTTTTTTTATTACAGAAATGTGAAGAGGATGGGAGAAAATGAAATACATATAAATAATTTCTGTTTATCTAACGGAGAAATGGAGAATTTTAGAATGTAATTTTGAATAGAAATTGCGAATGTATTGTTCATAGTGTTGCAATCTTGTACACGATACTGTTAAAAAACTCGCCCCTTTCGCAGCGTCGTTTAATTAATTCGGGAAGTATGGTGATTATTATTGGTCGATGAATCATCTTGCCTAAATGTTCGAAGCTAACAGACGCATTTCCATTTCAAGCATACATTTCTTTTCGCGTAAAACACAAGTCAGGAATGTCGTGTATTTCTCCAAACCTTACACGGTGGTCGGAGTCATTCATTTGCATGAGATACTAGACAGAGGAATTACCTAATAAATATTACAGTTTAGTGTGCCCCGTGTCCGGGATTGGTTAACATTTAAATGCATAATTGAATCGGAATATATTTGACAGGCTTCGAAATTTCGTTTACGCGTCCATTTCGCCAGGATCCGGCATTTGACGTTAATGGCTCGGTGTCATTGATCTTCGTTTCAAAATAAATATGGTCGAATGCAACGATAATAGTAATTGAACTTTCGCGTGTACTCTTCGTAAAAAATAAAGTCATTTTAAAGAACAAGATTTAACCACAGATCCATAGCATAATTACAAACGAGACTAAAATGTA